TTCTATAATAAAGAAAATATATATTTAAAAAAAAGTTTAGATTATAAAAAACTAAAAATTATTAAATTTATTTAAAATATATGATATGATATGCTTGTTTTACATAGATATATCTGTGAATGAGATTCTAACACGCGCGTATGTTCAAAGAATGAAAACAGATTCACGTATGATTCCGTTTCGTGCTAAATTGTTCGCATCAGCGCATTATCCGCCGACACGGACTAACACTAACCGATGCATCAACCGATTTCTAACGATTTCTCGACGACTTCTGAAGACTGAAGAATCGCCGAAGCTTTCGAACGATACGGTTTTATTTAACGCGAACGGACCAGAGAATAAATGACAGCGGGATGGATTAACACATTTTCATCTTTAATACAATTTATTATAACACTGTAAACTACTTTTCAAATCGTACGTCATATATATATGCAGTTGTATTCACATAAATATTTATTATCAATCATAAATATTTGTGAAAAAAGAAAAAAAAAGATTCTAAAAAGAAAGAAAGATTTAAAAAAAAAAATTCAATTACGTTAACCTGCTAATTATTTATTCAACTATAATAGTGATTGCGAATGTTTATGTTGATACATCTGTCGCATCTCTGCACTTATATCATTGCTGAAATAAAAAATGAAAGAAAGTCTAAGAGTCGATAAAATCTTACGCATATATATATATTCGTTGGATTTTTGACCACAAGTAAGTGCGTAATCAACTCGTAATCGTCTTTCTTTCTTTCTTTTGTTCGTAAAACTTCTTTTGCATAATCGCGGGACAGTCATCATCGACGCGCACGATGCTATAATCTATCAAACGGCTCGACGTTTATTGCGACGTTTATCAAAATTTAGATCTTGTCACTCCGTGCCATCGCGATTGTCGCGTTGGCGAACAGCACCCAATTCACGCAAACGACGCTTTTCCGCGAAAGGCGGAATCTATTTCGTAATGTTACGAAGACAGGTGTAGATTCCAAATTTCTATTTCGTAATCTTCACACATTGATTTCCGCGGCGCGGTCGTTAGATCGCCATCACTTTTCGCAGGCCTGTCGTAAGTTTGTCGTTTTTTTTTGTTTGTTTGTCATTATTAGAGATGAGTCGCGCGAATTTTCGCGTAATCGATGCGAAGTTTGTTCTCTCGTAGAGAGAGAGAGATCGTAATCGCCCAAATCATTTTCGTTCGTAACGTAAGATTTTCTCTTCCGCGCCCAATTTAAGCGCCGCCACACCACGTAATCGCCTCATCATCCGCGTTCGTTTTTCTACGCGGCATTTTTTTCTCACCATCACGTTGGATGACGCCGCGGCCCGATCAAACTCAACGCGACAACTATTCGCGAGAATAACAGACGACGACATCTCTGACGATTTGTAACACTCGATTGCTCCACTCGATTTCCGTATTCGTGTTACGCAACGTCGTGAAATATACATTTATTAATAAAGAAAAAGATTCGGTAAAACTGTCTCTCGATATATATATACAGCCTCGAGAATCTCGAAACCATATACGAGTTTCTAAAATGCGAAAGTTACTATTTCGAGATCTTTGCGTTTCTCTCGTACACCCGTAAAGAATAATTTTATTTCTAACAAATATAGACGTGTAGATAAATAAATAAATATTATATCGTCTCATCGGAGTGACAGTGTTGTTTATCGTGATGAATTTTTATGCGAACATTAAAATGCGATACTTAAAAAAAAAAATCTTAGAGGATGAACAAGGCAACGTCAAACTAGAAAATCAAGCGACCCGCGCGATTCTAAGGCCAGGCGAGAAGTTTTGCGTTTGCGTAATCGATATATTGCAATTTTTACCGACCGGCGAAAACTGGAGTAACCGCTGAAGGTTGCTCAATGTCGTTGCACAGTCCTTTACCTTTTCCCCGAGTGTGTATTTATTATTACCGGTTTTTGTTTTCTTTACACAATCGCTCATAGATATTTTCGCGTAGCGCTTTTATGTATGTGTGCGTGCGCAATTGTGTCTTGAAAAAAACGAACGGATCGACCGGCGATTTCAACGCTCGCGCGCGGACGCGCAAGCCGTTTTTCTATTCTTTTTATTCCCTCGCCTCAACTCTCCGAGCGTTGAGATCTCCAGCCTTTTCGCGCGTGCACATCGACTCGCACTCCGTTTATCAAACACAAAAATTTGTTATGTCAATGTTAGATTTGGGGTTGCGCAAAAAAATTGCGTAAGTACGTGTGCACTTGTTTATCAAGAATCCAGGTTAACGATCGTAAGTTTCTTCAACGAATAAAATTCGATGTTACTCAATGAGAAATTATCCCGCATAAATATTATCTTTCATTTGAAGAATTTAATGAATTTATATTGGCAAATGCACACATGCCGTATTGTGCGGTTAAGCAGAAACAAAACGCCTCTGTGTGTATTTTCTTATTTATCTCTTTCGTTCATCTTTACGAGAACCTATAAAAGAAGTTATTATAGACGTCGTTGCGACACACGCGTGTAACATCAACCTTTGGTACAGAGAAACCGAATGTTTGTTATTTACAAAAGACAAAAAAAAAAAACAGAATTTACAAATTTACAAATTACTAATTTTAAAAATTAGTTAGGGAGGTTTTTTTTATATGTGAGATGCAAATCCAGCATTCCGTGTGAATTTAAGAATTGAGATTTCAATTCAAAAAAACACTTACTTGTAAAAATTTACAAATAGAATTTGTTACATGTAAAAAAACTTGACGGTCGTGAAATTGTTAACAGGAATCAAATAAGGCCGATGCAAGCCATTCGCAGGATGTTTGTGCGGAAACTATGCGTGTACAAATATATATATATATATAAATGTAACGAATAGCACGGAAAGCCGGAGGTTCCAGGTTCGACTCCTGGCCGAGGAGTTTTTTTCGCAATATTTTAAAATTAGTTAGAGGGGTATCCGGGGTTTTCCATATGTGAGATGCAAATCTAGCATCCCGTATGATTTTAAGAATTGAGATTTCAATTCAAAAAATACTTGTAAAAATTTACAAGTAAAATTAGTTACATTTATATATATGTACACGCACAGTTTCCGCACAAACATCCTGCGAATGGCTCGTAAGGCTTTATATATTTCTTATTGAGAATTTACAAAATTATCTTAACTTCGAGGAGACAATGGAAATTTTGTTTTTACTTTTTATCAAAACAGATGCTGTTGTCATAACTTGGATTATCTCGTAGAAACGTTAATTATATCGCAAGGTTATATTGTCGACATATGTTTCTCCGCACGAGAGAGCGTGAATCTTCATGCGCGCATGTGTTTTAACGGTCTCTCATCTTAGCGCCGGTTACAGACGGTGCGGTCCGTGTAGTCAAATGGTACCGGCTACATAGAGAAAGTCTCTCCTGCGAGAGTGCGAAGAAAGATGAGTTCCGGAAGAAAACAAGTTGCTTGGGTGGGAAGAAGAGAGAAGGAAAAACGGAGAAACATTGTAGCGCGACGGTATCGTCGTCGTTAGGTTCTCTCAATGAGAGAGAAAGAATTCCGTTAGGGATGAAGGCGCGAGAAGACGACGGACGGATAGAACTTCGAGTTTAGTGGGTAAGTAGGTCGTCTCGTCCGGATAATTAACCGATCGGTGTGTTCTTCACGTGTGTGTATCACGTCTCACTGTGTATAGAGACAAGATACTCAACGGTGTCGTTGTCATATCTCTCAAGATTTCGCGAGAAGAAGCAATGTTTTTCTCTTTTA